TATGAAACGTGATGTGAATAAGTTTTGTGATCACTGCATTGTGTGTAAAAAGGCTAAATCTAAGGTTAAGCCTCATGGGTTGTATACTCCTTTACTTGTTCCTGAATATCCTTGGACTGACATTTCTATGGACTTTATTTTAGGGCTGCCTAAAACAAAGAATGGAAAGGATTCTGTGTTTGTTGTTGTTGATAGGTTTTCTAAGATGACATATTTCATACCTTGGAAGAAGGTAGATGATGCTTGTCATGTGATTGATTTGTTTTTCAAGGAAGTAGTAAGGCTACATGGGCTGCCGAGGAGCATTGTGAGTGATAGGGATTCAAAATTCCTTAGTCACTTTTTGGAGGACCTTGTGGGGTAAGATTGGTACTAAATTATTGTTTTCTACTACTTATCACCCACAAATTGATGGTCAAACTGAGGTAGTCAACAGGACTTTAGGCACATTGCTTAGGACTATTTTAAAGAAAAATCTTAAGACTTGGGAAGCATGTTTACCGCATGTTGAGTTTGCTTATAATCGGGTTATCCATAACACCACTAATTGTTCACCATTTGAGATTGTGTATGGATTTAATCCTTTGACTCCTTTTATTTGTTGCCTTTGCCTAATATTTCTATGTTTAAGCATAAGGAAGCACATGCTAAAGTAGAATATATGAAGAAGCTGCACGAGCAAGTAAAAGCTCAAATTGAAAAGAAGAATGAGAGCTACGAGAGACAAACTAACAAGGGTAGGAAAAAGGTGATGTTCCAACCTGGTGATTGGGTTTGGGTATACATGAGAAATGAAAGGTTTCCTGAACAAAGAAAGTCTAAACTCCAACCTAGAGGAGATGGGTCATTCCAAGTCTTAGAGAAGATCAATGATAATGCTTATAAGATTGATCTACCAGAAGAGTATAATGTAAGTTCTTCTTTTAATGTTGCTGACTTGACTCCTTTTGATACAGGAGATGAATTCATAGATTTGAGGACAAATGCTGCCCAAGAAGGAGGGAATGATGTGAACATAAAGGTCCAAGCCCATAACGAGAAAGATCAAGATCAAGATTCAATCCAAGACTTAGGTGGACCTATGACAAGAGGCAGACTGAGAAAAACACAAGAGGCATTGCAACACAAAGTGACCAATTTGCTAAAGGCCCAACTATTAAAAGTTCTAAACATGGAGGAGTCTAGCCCTATCACATGTATAAAATGTTTGGAGAGCTAGGAGGCCCCAACATAAAGATTTAGTTATTATTTTTATTATTATTTACTACAGTGGGGATTTGAACCCAAGACCCAAAGCTTATAATATTTTCACTGAACCATCTGGGCAACTTAACTTTGCTTGGGATATTAGGATTTTAATTTATCTTTATTTCCTGCAATGAGACAAACTCATAAACTTACATTGTATTAAACATTTGGAAATTCAAAATGAACGTACGAATATTCAGAATCACTTTGTGAGTTGTTGCTCTGCTATGGTTCTTCCTTGCATCACTTGATCTTATCAAGAATTATCTAATTCTTGTGGCGATCCTTCTTGGCATATCAAATATTCTTATTTGTGGCGCCTACGGTATCCTTTATGTTTTTCTGTTTTCTATTTCTAATCAAATCAACTCTTAAAACCTAATCCTAAATTGTTTCCCTTCTATTCGAGTGTCGTCGCCACCTCTCCTTGTGGATAGAGCTTCTTTTTATACACCCACTTCACGTCAATAAGTCGACCATAACTCAGCAGTTCGGTCATTTCCCAAGTACCATTCCGATCTTTGGCTTGGATTTCATCACCCATGACAGCCCTTCACTTCCCATCTCGTACAACCTCCTCAAATGTGATGTCCTTAGAATTTGCTAAAAGATAAACATGTACCTTATTAGTTGAATCATATAAGTCTCTCAAGCTCCTCATTTTTAGTCATGATTCATGCTCCTCTTCGTTTTCTGAGCTGATAACAGGCGGTGCTAATGGTGCAGGAGCTCGGTCTTCTTCAGAGCTTGCTCGGTCATATTCTGAGTTGTCAACGACTGGAGATTTAGAAAGGTCTCCTTCCGATTCTCCCCAGCTCCATTCACTTGCTTCATCAAATCGAATATCCTGACTTATAATTATCTTTTTACTTATCAGATCCAACAACTTATAAGTTTTTTATGCTTCATCATAACTGATGAACACATACTTCTTACCCTTGTTTTCAAGCTTAGTTTGTTGTTGAGATAGAACTACTTCATAGACCAAACTTCTGAAGACTTTGAGATGAGACAGTCGGTTTTTTACCGCTCCATGCCTCTTGTGATGTTACACCATCTAACTTTGCATGCGAACACCTAATTTGCACGTAGATAACGTACTATATCGCCTCGGCCTAAAACATTTTTGGCATATTCTTAGACTTTAACATAGCTCAGACCAAGTCAAGAACCGTTCAGTTCTTTCTCTCAGTCATACCAGTGAGTACAAGACTGTTAGGAATCTCCTTATTCCTTCATCTTCACAGTACTTCATGAAAACACTGGACATAAATTCTCCTCCTCCATCAAATCGGACTGATCGAATATGCCACCCGATCATATTCTCAACCATAATCTTAAACTTTTTAAACCTTTCAAACACTTCAAATTTCTCTTTCAGCAAGTACATCCACATCTTTCTAGAGAAGTCATCAACAAATGTCGTGAAGTATTTTTTACCGCTAATGACTCAAGGGTAATCAGTCCACACAGATCGGTATGAATCAACCCAAATTGTTTATTTTCTTGGTACTCGACACTCCTCGGAAAAGGGGTCCTCGCCAATTTTTTGGTTACACATTTTTCACAAAATTTTCTTTCATTCTCGAAGCTCGACAATCTGAGCACCATTCTCTTGTTTGACAGCTCGACTAGCCCTCCAAAACTCATGTGGCCAAATCGATGATGTCAAATTAACATTATGTCTTCCACGTCAAGCTTCAGACACTTCTTCTGAATACCTTTCAACTATATCTTGTACATTATGTTCCTCTCCATCTCAACCCGAGCAATCAGTCTTCCAAGTTTGTCCCTCAGCTAGAGCACTCGATCTTTCATGAAAATCGTGTACCCCTTCTCCATCAATTGTCCTATACTCAAAATGTTACTTTTGAGATCGGGAACAAAATACACATCTTGGATCATCCCCACCAATTCATCCTTCTATAAATAGCCGACTGTGTCATAGGATTTTACCGAGACTCTCAAATCGTCTCTAAACGAAACAATATCAACATTCGTCTTCTTTAACTCTTTGAAAAGAATCACCACACATGTGATTATTCGCCCCTGTATCCAAATACCATACCGATTAGTTATTGGTATTGGGTTGAACTCCATCATTGTAATCAACTCCTAAATGAATGACCGAATGTAGATCGACCATCATGAGCGTTGATTCTTCTTGCCCTTCTGTGAGATAGGTCTCACCCATCTTCTAACATTCTTTGACGAAATATCCCTCCTTTCCACAATTAAAGTATTTTCCCGAATAGAAGTCCTTTGCATAATGGTCATATTTACAACACTTAAAAGACTCGATGTTTGAGTGGTTTGTCGACCGATCTCTTCTCAGTCCATGTCCTCTACCTCGCAAGTTTTGTTGAACTCTTTCATCAAGATTGTCCAGATCAGTCACCTCGGGCCCGACTACCACGACCTCATCCTCGTCCTCTATTATTTTGAAAATATAGGGTTTTCTCCTCTTTTAACTCGGCCTTCAACACTTGTACAATGATTTCCTCCTTGGTCTTTTTCCTTTGATACTCGTGGACTCCAAGCAAACCAGCCAATTCCTGAAGCGTGAGTTTGGGCAAATTCTGAGACTCTTCTATGAGACAACCTTTGTTATCAAAATTATTAGTTAACGATCTTAAGATTTTCGCACAACCCGATTTTTAGGGATCGTCTCTCCATCCGAATTGAGTTCTTTCACCATAGTTTTGACACAGGTGATGTACTCGAAAACTTCTTATGAGTTTTTCATTCTCTTGTTTTCAAACTCACTATACAGGATTTATAATCAAACCTGTTTGATTCGATCATCACTCTTGTATGTTGTCTCTAGCGTTGTCCACACTTCTTTTACAAATTTAGCATATGTAATCTTCTGGAAATTGCTATCTTCTACCGCTTGAAATAATGTGAACAGAGTTGCACTGTCTTTCTTATGATTTTTTTTCATTTTCCTGAGTTCATTGACCGTCAATTCTCCTATGGTCTCAAGTTCTTCTAAACCTTCCTTTATTATTTCCCAACAACTCTAGACTTTGAGGATAGTCTTCATTTGGACACTCCACATATCATAAATGACGTCCTTCGTCAGTCGAGGCACAACCACAACATTTGTCAAACCAACCATCTCACTTTTTTAAACACTCAACAAGAAACCTTCAACTCTAGCTCTCCTGAGAAATTCTTGTTCTTAATACCAATTTGATAACAAATAATTTCTGAGAAACTAACTTTTATTGATTCTTTGTCATTTCTCAAATGAAGAATACAATGGCCTATTTAACTTGTGTTAAAACCTTTAATCATAATTAGGAATTAAAATAATAATCACCTAGAATATCATTATTCTCAAAATGTTCCCATAAACTCTAATTAACTTATTATTAATTTTACCTAACAATAATCAACACTAAACTAACAACAGTTCTGCATAAAACAAAATAGATTTTCTATCAAAAGCTTCTACATGATTATTCAACTTCACTATAACAGTAACAGCATTAATGTTATACAAACTCGGAATATCATATAAAAGAGCATCACGGTGCAATGTAATCGAATACAAACATTCATATTATTTCCTCCCCTTGATCTTGCTCCAGGTAAGAAAAATGCCCTGGAAAGAGTCAAGTGATAGTTACCATTATACATGGTCAACATGTCAACAACTTCTGCATATCATAACAGATCAGAAAGAAGAGATGTTGCTTGGTTGAGGGGATATTAGCTTGAAAGTGATCTAAGTTCTACATGCAAAGTTATGCTTTTAGTGGCAATTCTTTGTAAGTGTAATTGATCCCTTGATCACCATTAACCACATGTCCATTCCCTCTCAAAATCCTGCATTATATCCATAAAACATGAAGATGGAAATGTAAGCCTGTACTAGTATCTTGATTGACGACTTAAAAAGAAATAGGTTTCTTGAACATAGTTTTTCACATCATTCGTTACTCACTCTTTATTTGCAAAGGTGCTGGGGGAAGTGTGTTCTAGTTTATTATCCAAAGTTGGAATTGAAGAATGATGTAAGTAGTAGAATAATGTGCCAATTTTTGGAAGTAAAATGTAATGAAATACTAGATAGACCCACATAAAAAAATATTAAAAAATTTCATTTTTTCTCAATTGAAATTTCTATTTTCATCATTAAAACTAAAAATGAAAAGGGCTCAGATTTTCATACCATCTGTTTGTCAACAAGCCCTCTACTCCTACAGGACCTCGTGTATGAATTCGACTTGTGCTAATTCCAACCTATTCAATAATTAATGGAAGCAAGATCAAATGAGAAAATAAAGTCAATGTTACTGATAGCAATGGATTCTGTAGAAGATCATTACCTCAGCACCAAGCCCAAAGCGTGCTCCATCACAAAATCGTGTGCTTGCATTGTGGAAAACAGCAGCACTGTTTGTACATAAGGCCAAGTTGAAGATAAACTAATGATAAATCATACTTGATAACTCAATCTTATGAGCTAGAAGAGTATAGATGTCAATTAGAATGAAACACATTACCAAGACTTGATGATGGGGTTTAAGATGAGATTTAGTAACGCAGTAGTAAGTAACAATGACAAGTAGGTAGCCAAATTTCTAGACAAACCTGTCAACTTGACTCAAGAAAGTCTCAGCAACTTCACAATCTTCTGTAACAATGCATTCAGTATGAGCACTGCAAAACCAACAAAGAAAGTAGGAAATATTTTAAGCACAAATCGTGTTAATGATAAGAGAATACAATGACAATTATTTGGAGGAACCCAACATGCCTTCCATGTCGTTGTATGTGGTTAATGGCAGCAAACACATCTTCTACAATTTCAACTGTGCAAGCAAGTGAACTATACTCATGATGAAAACTGCTTGTTTCAACAATGTTTAGTAAGCCACTGGCTCTTGGTCCACCATACAGTTTAACACCTGCAATCCATTTTGTCCTCGTTATATATGACTTTTCTGATATTGAAGAAAACTATGATGCATATTGCTACACCTTTATTAAGAAGTAAATAGAAAATATACATTGGTGAACTCCAAAGAGGTCATATTAAACTAATCCCCTTCCATGTTTGCATGAAAATGGGTTCAACTTCTTTTATTGCTTTTGCTATATGAAGGGAATTTTTAAAATTTCCAAATAAAACAAAATCTTCAATTGGATCAATGTTGTTTGTACACCCATTTGGAATTAAAGTCACACCTTCACGTTGGAGTTCAAGGACAAGCTCATTAAGTCCACCATTATTTGATAGATCCTTGTGTACAAGAAGAGTTTCCTAAGAATACCAGAACAGTAATATTTTGATGAGCATAATCTGTAAATTCCAATCACACCATACATTTTAAGGAGGGGATGTTACATATGAACATGTTTAATTAGTGAATCACAAAGGATGCGTGAATGTGAATTACCATTGCATTGCAGGCTGCAGGATAATCAGTCTTTGCATCTCTAACAATCTGTTTTGCCATATCAATATTAGCTGCTTTGTCGACATATACATGACAAATTCCATCTGCATAACAGAAACAACAATTTCAATGAAAATTTAATCTAAGATATAGGAAATTTCTATAGAAGAACATTACCGGCATGTCCAAGAACAGGAATTTTTGTTGATTCCTTGATTTGAGAAACAAGCTTATTACTGCCTCTAGGAACCACAAGATCTATCACATCATCAAGCTGAGGTGGAGTATAATTAGTGGCAAATCATTGAATAGAAATAATTGAGGATTTTTGTTTGTGGTATCCAACCTTAAGTAGGTCTGGAATTTCATCTCTTGAAGTCACAAGCCCAATAAGTTTGTCACCTACAGTATTTGGAATCACCGAAGTAATGACCTACAATAAAACAGAAATATCAAAGATAGAAACATGTGAATAATTTAAATGATGACAAAGAAACAACAATCAGTTCTGCTCAAGATTAATCTTATAAAACAATTGTCTCAACCAAGATAAAAAAGTAGTATAAACCTTGTGTAAGACTGCATTTGATCGTCGAGCTTCCTTTCCACCTTTAAGCAGTAAACCATTCCCACTTCGAATTGCCAATGCAGCTATCTGTTAATCCATTTAGTCAAACCACTAAAAGATCAATATCCAAAACTAAAACAATGTCAAACAACATACTTAAAAATATAGTCAAAAGATTGAATAAACCAAAAAGACATGTCAGAGTTGATGTTATTGTGAAACAATAATTATATTAAATGGATAATTTCTAATCATGTCAAATCTTTGTCCTTCAACATAGTTTACTGAAGATGGAATAAGAATCGTAAAATAACCTGAACAAGGGCATCAGGTCGAGACTCAAATATAACCAGAAGGACTCCCAAAGGACATGATATTTTCTCCAGGATGAGTTCATCTGCTAGCTGAGCAAGGAGAAAAACAATAAATTTCGCAATGAGTGTTGAACAATAGAACATAAGTTTAAAACATATCATTCATTCTTGTGTCAAAGCAATGGCTATAATGTGTTCTTAAATCAAGATTAGCTAACATATACTACATAATTCATTCTAGAATTTGTTACTTTACCAAATACTATAAGCAGTAAAAAGAGGAGCATTTTGAATATTTCAACATTGTGTCACAAGTATCAGATGTTACTTATAAGCTACTTATCTTTCAATACACTAAGAAAAATAATTTCTGACCTCAGTTCTTTTCAAAATTTGACCAATTGGTTCTTTCATATCTGCCAACATGCGCACAGACTTTGCAAGACTAGAGATCTGTGAAGTACAAAGATAGAGGTCAGATTAAAGCATGCTTAGAGAAAAACTTGATAAAAGATGCTTTGGAACATGATAAAACAGTCTAGACAATTCAAAAAAGAAAACTAATGCATGTCATCCTTCACTTCACTAGGTAACTACACTATGGAACCAATTAAACTCTTGCCTTCTTATTCTTCAGGGATAAACGTGATATCAGAGAATTTTCATATCCAGCAGTCACAGCATCACCAACATCAGCTTCATTCTCTCGACATATTATACTTTCATTTTTCTCCAATGCATCAGCAATTGCCAATAATATTTTACTCCTTTCTTCATATTTGAGGATCTGACACAAAAAACATCAGTACAATTCTAACAACTACCCTAATTCAATCTATTGTGTTGAGAAATAACAATAATAATAGAAGTATAAGTAATATTCTGAAGTTTATATTGATAATATAGTAGAAATAGTGTACATATAAGAATAATAAAGTGAGGTAATCATACAAGAATAAAAAATATTTATTATTTAATAAGCCTTAAATTGTTCCTCCAAAGAATCTAAGAACAATTTACATCACTTTTAAGCTTATAAGGATGAATATAACAACAACTTTAGCATTTGATGAGCTAATTGAGATAAAAATCTTTAGAACACTTGTTGACATGCTATCTTTGGAAGAGCAATTTAGAAACAACATTATTTACCTGAAGTCGTCTAGAACTCTCACGTGCTGAAACTGCCATTTCACGTGCACTTACTTCCTTTATATTGGTCCATAAATGAGCATCTTTATGAAAGACAGTACCTATTTTTTCCCCTTGAAGAACCCGAATGATGTTGTTTGTAGCATAGCCACTTCAAGACAGGTTAAAATGTAATCAAAGTTAGCAAAATGCAAAATCCAAATGTACGCTTGAACTTATGCATTACTTGCAAATTATTAGGCACAACACAACACAAATTAGAATCCTTTTTCTTCTCTTGAGCTATTTTCAAAATGATAGATACTTTAAGTAAATAACACAGTTATCTTTGGTGAAAGCATCTTTCAATATGACTATAAGCGTAACACAAAAATGTAAGGTACCTAGTTATAATGACAGGGATACCAGCATGAGCAGCACAAACAGCAGCATTAACTTTAGCAGTCATACCCCCTCTGCCCAATCTTGACTTGTCTCCAAAAGTAATTTCCCCTTGATGTTTCTCTTTTATATATGTATGAATCAACTTTGAATTTGGGTCACTTGGAGGACCACTATAAAGGCCCTCAACATCACTCAATAAAACAAGGAGATCAGCTTTAAGTTCTAAGGCTAATAGACCAGCCAAACTGTCATTGTCCCAGAAAATACCAGAAGAATCCTGCATAGAGCGCTTAAAATTTAAGATAATCACATATTAGACTTTACAAAGTTCCCAAGCATAGCCAAATCCACATAGTGGGACATGGCCTGTTTTGATTTTGTTAATCAAATTAACATATTGTTGGTGTAGCATAAAAAAGTTTGATTATACCATCTCAACAAACTAGGATGGTAATTAAAAACAGAGACTGAACAATTTTAAAATAAAAAGTAGAGATAATTCAAATGAAACAGTGGAAGAAAAAACAGCCTACCTCATATGGTGCTTTCCTAGTACTAACAGCATCATTTTCATTGAAAATGGGGATAACCCTTAAATCTAACAATGAGTTCACTGTGTCTGAAAGTTGTTTTCTGAAGCCAGCATCCCTAAAAAATCCATCATTCACAAGAAGTTGGGAAGAAGTCACATCAAGCTGCACCAAGAAAAATCTCATATCAGCATCAATATGGAGAAAACAACAAAATCATTAGCATATGTAGTAACTAAGGAAAAGAAAACACTTGAATTGGATTGGGATGTGATAATGAAAAAGCAACTTAAGTTTTGTGGCAACCTGGCTGAACATGGTATCATACAGAGCCATGAGACTACTTTGTCCAACAGCTGCACATGCTTTTCCATCAATCTCACTTTGTGGCTTTTGAAGATCAGAAAAACTGTACCACAAGTAAAGTAAACTACCTTAAATTAATAGAAAAGAAAAATGAACTAGTTTTCATAACAACTTCAACCCTGCACAGATTCAATCTTAATCACGCAATTGGGTCTAAAACTTACAATGAAAAATATGCTATCAGAATATAAAACATCATAGGAACCTGCTATTGGCCAATTTGCGATATCTAAGTCTTTGTTTGCCAAGGCCAACAGCACCTGAAGTTACCAATATGACTTCAAATCCTTGACTGCTAAGTTCTTTAAGCTGCGACAATTTCATTGGAAGCAAAAGTTTCAGTCACACACACACAAAACACATGACAATTACGCTATATAATCCAAAAATTTTCTATTCTATACCTGCTCACAAAGAGCTCCAATTCTTCCAAGCGCTAATCTTCCATCACTTCGAGTAACAACAGCTGTTCCAACCTTCAATAAAGATCATCCAACAAACAAATTTGTTAATCACATAATCAGAACTAGAAAGAAAGAATGCATCACTCACCTTAAGAAAAATAACATATAACATAAAATGTAAGTGTCATTTTTTTTTCCTTTGATATTTTCATCCCTTTACTATTTTGTTATTGCCATTTAAAATTTACATAATATTGATTTGGTTATAATTTATTACAGAATAAAGTTATTTATTAATTTTTCCAATAAAAAATATTTACTAAGATTGTTAAGGACTTCAAATTTAAAATAATCTAATAATATTTTCTTGATACTATATACTTTTTTATATATTCTCTTGTGAATTTAAATACACTATTCTAAACTTTAGAATAGCAAATTAAATATTGCTATGCAAGTTTATCAAAAACCGCTTTAGAACAATAATTATTGTCTCAACATTATGTTAATTTGATATAAATATTTTTTAAAACATAATTGATATAATTTTTCCTAACAAATTATGATTATTATAAATATTTTAATTACGAAGATACTTTATAACAAATGAAACCAATGATTAATATTTATAATCTTATATAGAAAATAGTATTTAATTTACCTCTCTAAAACATAATATGTATAAATATTAATGTTTTAGTAGGTTAATAATGTAATTAATATTTATATAATTACAATAATTACAAAATCACACTTCACACAATTCTTCATGAAAGTTCGATATTCATGGTGTCAACGCAATAGCGCTGAGTCAAGACAACGAGTAGGTTTTGTGTGAGAATGCACAGAAAATTATGTAGCAGAGTTCAAAGATGCAGTGGATCTGCCACGTGTAAAACTAGGTTTTGTGGGCCCTACAAACCGCGAGTATTTTTGTCCTTTAGTCATCACTCACACCACTAAATTACTATTATCCTTTAATTTTTTTTTCTATTTTTTTAAAGTGTATATAGAAGTAGAGATTTTAAAAATTAGATAAAATAGTTGATTGATGGTGTTTATTTGTCTTTTTTTTTTTTTACCATTTTCGGTAATTTTCTTTTTAATCTTAAAAGGAAAGTCTTTCAGCAAAATATATATAATCTTTAAACAAAAAAAATTAATAAAAACCCTACAAGTTTTACTGTTTAAAATTTAATTTTAATTTAATTATAAATATATTACAAATCAGGTAAATATACTTCTTTTATATTATCCTAAAATAACAAATTTTATTAAATACTTTTAGTTCAATAAATCTGCATAACAATATTTATATAAAAATTAGTTTTTCAATTTTCAGTAAGAGTTTTCAACACCCAATTATAATATTTTTCTTAAACATGACCTAACTATGCTAAGTATTTCTAATTTAAATTCATTTTATCTAATTAAAAAAAATCAGTTTGTTTAGAGAATCTAAGGGGAGGGAACCTATAAACCTAAATATTTTCAACGTTTCTGTAAAAATATATGTGAAAACAAGAAACAGAGAGAAAACAATGTCACGAATAAAAGCTTCTTTAACCTTTTTTCCTCTCATTTTTATGTAATATATCCTATTTTGAAGTATGAGAGCAATGAATGCATGAAAGAATGATAAGATAAATTATTTTACAAAAAAATTGTAAATGAGTAATTAATAAAAAAGTAACTTATAAATAAATTAATTTATAATTTTTCTAAAATTTTGAGCAAGTTTATTTTAATTTTTGAAGTTTTTTTTTTAAATCATCCAAATATCATAATTCTTTTTTATAATGATAAAAAATAAAAATAAAAAAGAGAGTATATATATGATATATATGGAAAAGAAAGACAGAGAGAAACGTGAAGGTATAACCTTTACAATGAGACGCTTGACCTTGGAGACAAAAGCTCTGGAAGGATCGATGTTGCCGGAGAAGTGAGTTTGGAAGAGCGAGTTGAGGTGAGTCAGGGCGGTTCCATTGACGAGGGGTATCTCCGAGGGTTTGGTTTTGTGGCCATTCTGCAAAAGTTCCATTTTTTGTGTTAGTCTCAGACTCTGAAATCAGAAACTGAGATCAACGAAGAAGAAGAAAAAGAAGGCAGAGATGTGAAGTTCTGTTCAAACAACAAGGGCTTTTAAAGGCATGCACAGGGTTTTCGTGATTTTTTTTATAATCTTTTTGTTTATATTTTAACTTTTTTTAATCTCTTTAGTAACCACCACAGTTTCTGAGTAGTACGGCATCTGCATTGACCAGGGAGCTTTTTTGCCAATGGAGTGTTGTGTGTCTCAGAATATTATATTCTTTTATCATCCCTTGAACTCACATCACATCTAAATATGTGTAAGATTTCATTTCATTTTTAGTTTATTAGGGATTTGAATTTGGTAATTCTTATTAGAATTTCTGGATAATATTTCTCTGCTAAAAATTCATCGGATGTTATCACAGGATATGAGATTGAGATGTTTTCGATTCTCAACAGAATAATAATGTTTTTTTTCATATTTTTTATTAAAAAAATAATATCATCAATAAAATAATGGGACATTCTTAAAATAATAATGTTTATTTAACAACATTATTAATAAAATGTTTGACATTTTTATATCTAAACAGAATAATAATATTTATTTATTATTTTTATGTTAAAAAATAATATTAGTAATAAAAGAATAATGGTAAGAAATGGTAATGCTATATGTAGAAGGAAATAGAATTAGTAAATGGAAAGAAATAAACAAAACAGAAAATAAAAAGGTGTTGTTCGAAGATAAATAGAAAATAAATAAAGACAGAAATAGAAATTGATGAGATACCTGAATATTAAAGTAGAGATGAATCAAGTTTCATTATATTCATCACTTGAATTTGTTCTTCCTCCTAACACAATGTAAATAACAAACGTAACGAATGTTATTTCTAGTATTTATGAAAAACCAAGTAAAATAAAATAATATTAAAATATAATAAATGTTGATGATTACATAAAATAGACTAAGGTAGAATGTATAAGATTTTTGTTGTGTGTGGGTATAATTTGAGAAAATTGGAATAAAAGGGGTTAGAGTTGAATGATTAGGGATAGTGATTACTTGTTATTGTTATAAACGCTAATTCACTTGTAAATTTGACATTTTGATCTATTTTATCTTGTTAATAGGTCAACAAGTTAATCTTCCAAAAAATTAATAAAAAAGAAAATTAAATATTAAAAATACTTATTTTATAAAATTAATTTAAATATATATATATATATATATATATATATATATATATATATATTTAATTAAAAGATATAAAATGTATCAATAATTGAGTGCAAATTTCATTTTTATATTAAATGTTATTAGTAATAGAAAAATTAAATTTATAAAATAAACTAAATAATAATAATAAATATATATTTGATTCATTTTAAATAAATAAATTAAAAAATAATACAATACAATATAATATATATATATATATATATATATATATATAAATGTATTGTTACTAAAAATTAGAATAAAAAACAAAAAAATATTAATAAAAAAGAAAATACAAACAATAAAAATAAACCATTGAAGTAATTAGTTTTAACAAAATCATAAATATCATAGTTATGTTAATCTTTTGAACATGTGGTTTGATAATATTATGTTAAGGTGGTTTTAGACGAAGAACTAGTGAGAATATGAATAATTTTAACAATAAAAGGAATGAAAGAAGATGAATGAGACTTTCTTCATGTTTAAATCAATTAAAAGTGATAATTCACTCTAATATTATTGTCTGATCACAAAATGTAGAATTTTTAGTAATGTGAATGGTAGATTAATTGGTGCAACATGTAGAAAATAAAAGATTATTCTTAACATGAACATCATTCACAAATATTTGAATGATCGAAATTCACATAATAAAATAGTAACTGCTCGATATTCAACATCAAAATAAGATCTAAATATTATAGACTATTTCTTTTATTTTCAAGATATAAGAGTTATTATGAAACATATGATAACCATGGGATATAATCAATATAACATTCCTAATTTGAATAAGAATAATCATGGGATCTCAATTCAATAGAATGAGGAAAGAAAACACTCATACTAGACAATAATTTAAAGTATGTTAGCACATGGTATGCAACTTGTAAATCAGAAGAATGTGGATGAGTCCTCGGTTGGCTTAATTGTTAGATTGAAAAACCAATATCATATCTATTATTTGTGAGATATAGTAGACAAATAATTACTCTTTTATAGGAACAAGGATCATCAAGTAAATCTCGTACAAAATTAGATAATTTGAAAGAAGTAAGTATAAGACAAGTAACATGTTTACTTCTTAATAAGATACTCTATGAGATTAAATCAAGAAAGTATTTAAGTTGATTGAGAATACTACCCTTACTATTCAGATAAGTTTCTAAATTTCTAACCCTAGAAAATAATGAAATTGATCAAGTTATATCAGGAAAATTCTCTATATAAACACCATTGTGTTTAATGAATTTCAACATAATCATTATCTTTCAAAAAAAAATATCATCAACATATACTAGTAGAATAATGAGAAGAGAACATATTTACAAAACTTTGATCATATCTAAAAGAAACCAAAGTAACAACAAACTTTGTATTTCACACTCTCATGTTTTAAGCCATAAAGTGAGTTGTGTAATTTATAAACATGCTGAAGAAGATAAACTAAGAGGAAGGGACGTATAAATCTTTTTAGATATATCTCCACACAAAAATGCATTTTTGATATCAAATTGTAAGAGTTTCCAATATTTATACTAACAAGACCAAGAAAAATTTTTGACAATTGTGAGCTTCACACTAAGAGAAAAAGTTAAAAATAATCTAGATCTTTAAGTTGAGTGAATCCTTTAACAACTAAATGAACATTAGATTGATCAAGTGTATCATCTACCTTTTATTTAATTTTGAGCATCTAATTACATCCAATAAAATTTTTACTAGAAGGAAGGTCAACTACATATCAAGTAACATGCAAGAGCTTTTAATTCATCATTTATCATTTTTCCAATAATATTGAGAAAAGGTTTGAAAAAAATGTTTAGGTTCTTTGTGAATACAAATATTCAAAACAAGAAGATTGATAAAATAAAAAATATTTATCATAAGAAAGTTAATGATGAAATAGGTACTTAACATTAGATGAAATGTTTATTACATTAACAGAAGAAAAACTCTTATGATAACTATTAAAGTAACTTCAAATCTTCGACATAAAAATTAACTGAAGAAAAATGGAAATGGTATGAAAAGAATTAGATAAAATGTTGTACAACAAACTAAAGAATAAAACATCATTAACTTCGAGTTCTAGTAAGGTAAAAAAAAATTAGTAATAGGTTATCTATATTTGGATTAAAATATGTTATTGTTTATGCTTAATAATAATATTTTGTTAAGGTATTTCCACACAAAATGTTATGTAATATTACCAACTTTCTCATATATGTTAATTATCTTCCTTGACTAGCATGAGAGTTTAATTAACAATATTAAATATGACAAGGTAGTTTAAATGAGTAGTTAATATTGAAATAGAAATAAAATTGATAAAAAAAAGGTTGGAAGATGTAAAATTTTAGCCAAAATGGATAAAGAAGAAATTTTCATAATAGCAACATGTGATTGGTGTCTATGTCTTAAATATAAGATATTTATGAATCATTTATTTTATTTTCAAAGTCATGCTTGTTGTATTCTCACATGACTAACATTGTTTAAGTTGTGGTACTGTGAAGAAGTATGTTGTTATATCAACATCAATATGTTTAATTTCATATTACTCTTAAGGGATAAACATGAATTGTTAGATGATTATTCCTTATAACTTATATCTTCTTAGTTGTTTGTATTGAGAAATTCAAATGTGAGTCTAAGTCCTACATTGAGTAAGAATAAGAAGATTGAACAACATATATAAGGAATAAAGACACATAACCTAATGTCTTAAGGTTTTATGTTAAAGATGGTATTAATATCTTATGTGGGTTGGACACATGTCTCATTGTTAAAAATATTTTTGTTATTAGCCCCTTTGAAAATACCCAACAGGAATGGTTATTGTATCGAAAGTCTTCCTAACGATGGGTCAAACAAGTCATTATGATGAACGACAATACATGTAAAGACTACTAGTGAGTTCAAGAGATATACCAATATTAAAAGACTCACACTTGAAGGAGAGATTGTTAAGATATCTAAATGTGAGTTTAAGTCTCACATTAAATAAGAATGAGAAAGTTGAACAATATATTATGATGAACGATGATATATGTAAGGGTCATTAGTGAGCTCGAGGATGATGTACTAATGTGAAGAGACTCACACTTAAAAGGGGATTGTTAGGAAATTCAAATGTGAGTCTAAGCCTACATTGAGTAAGGATTACTAGTGAGCTCGAGGGGGTGTGAAGGGACTCACACTTAAAGGGGAGATTGTTAAGAATTCCAAATATGAGTCTAAGTCTGACATTGAGTAAAAATGAGAAAGTTAAATAACATATAAGGAAGAAAAACTCAACCTAATGCGTTAAGATTTTGGGTTAAAAGTGGTGTCAATCATTATATGTGTTGGACTCATATTTCATTATCGAGAATCTTCCTCTTGTTAGTCTCCCAAAAATATCCAACAATTTGTTTATAATATTAATAACATAAGTAGATCGTGCATCATTTCTTCTAGTTATAACTTAGTGAAAATACTTGAATAAAGAAACATGCATCAACTATGTATTAGTTTTACCATAGTTAATACACATTCTTTTGTCACTCTCCCTTCTAAAGTAGTTATAATCATATTCGTACCATTGTCACACCACCTTTTTGATAAGGTGGTTTAAAAGTATTGTTAAATTATTAATATTAAAAGAACAAGAATTATTTAAAGAATTTGTTTTGATCATGGTAACAAACACCTTATATATATCCTGAATATTATTTTTTCCCTTCAAAATAGAACCATCAAATTCACACTTCTACTAAACTATAAGAGAAAAAGCATGTGTAATGAAGTCACCTCAAAAAACAAGATTTGAAAAGAATAATTAACGTTCATTAAAATCTCTCAAGAATTTAATATCATAACCTGATTCAATATAAGTTCTCAAAAACATCATAATGATAAGCAAGATTACAAAATCAAATTGAAAAAGGTTAAAAAATATCAAGTTTTTTTCAAAGTTCCTTCATCTTCATGAAATTTTCTTATACAACAAACTCTTTGTCTGCATCTATAATTATAAACTTGCATCCTAAAATTGATTGTCTTGAGAAAGTTTATCACATAAATAAACATATTTTTTCCATTCACATTATATAATCATGAATGGAGTCATTCACCGATCAAAATATTCATAAAATAACCATCATTGTAAATTGATTCCACTGTATGGAAGAATTGAGTTTCCAATCAAGAATCTAAGTTTATTCTTTCATATCAATTTAACTATCATCCATTGAGGTAAAACATGATAATTTCTTTCATTAAGAATTAAAAGAAAATAAAAAGTGAGTATAAATTTGCATGTAATATGAACATGAAAAATATTATTATAATTCACTCTCACATTCATTATAATTACAAAATTTAGAAGATGTAAAATAAATCAAAACTTTGATCCGATATTACTTCTCATAAAAATAAGATATATGTAGAATGATTTTGTAGTGCGTAAAATGAATTTATCATCATTATAAACAGTAAAAAATAATGTCAAAGTTTATATATAAAAAAGAAAAAGACACCGTGATATAAATATGAAAAAAAATTCATTCAATAAATTAAAATATAAAATCCTTGAAGGAAGTAGTTTCAAAGTTATATATATATATATATATATATATATATATATATATATATATATATATATATATATATATATATATATATATATATAAGTTTTGGAGCGTGACATTCAGAATTTGAAAAGAATTATTTTTGGAGTTTAATTAGAATGTTACTTTTATGGAAATTTTGTTATAATATGATACTTTTAATTATGTATTTGAAATTGCGTCACAAAACTTTAGTTACGTCTAAATGTATTAGAAAGTTAGAATATGTGAAATATGTATTTATGTTACTTTTTGGTATGTTTTAATGGGAATATTTCATCGAAAGCATGATATTACGTTGATTTTAATTGAAATCACATTCTATTCATCCTTAAATATAAGTCAATGGTAACAAATTTACACTTAAAGAAAGATTATTAATTGAGTTAGTAATATTAACCTTCTTAGTATTATAATTAAATAATTAATATTAGGAGGTAATTTTATAACTGTTCAACTTCGTTGAAAAGTTTAGTTTAAGAATGAAAAATAATAACTTCAGGATATAATAATTAATTTTAATAATATTATTATAGTAGATATGAGATTGAAATACTGTTTTTCTTAAAGGTAAATACGAAATTTATTATATATAAACTATAATAATTACAATTATTTTAGTAAAGGAAAAACTAATAAAAAAACTAGAAAAAAAATCTTATAAAAAGACAATTTTTTTAAGCAAAACCTTATATCAAGGACAAAGGGAATATTAAATATTGTTGTTGATGCTCTTGCCAAATAATCATTTGTAAGTAATGACATGCAATTAATAATTATCTGTAGAATAATTTTGGTAATCATGAATAAGAATAAACCACTTTTCAATTATTGTTTAGATTTTGAAATATGTATCAGAAGATGAGATCTTAGTATTTTAAGTTCTAATTGTAATAATTTGATTCTATTGTTGCATCTCATTATACAATTTTAAATTTTCCGTCAGTTGAATTTTGACACCAGACATTATGTAACATATTTAAAACATTAAACCAATATAATTGCAAACCCTAGAAAAAAATCTGAATATGAATATAATTAGAACTTGAAGAAAACTAAAATTATAAATTTACAATATTTAAATATCCAAATTCATATGGTTCTAATAACTCTATGAATTCAAAATCATTTAGTAATGAAAGTTCATTTATATACTCTTTTAACTCATAAAACATATTTAAAAATGATAAATTAGAGTTTCCCTATATTCTAACACATACCATTAAAATTTATTAAAAGTTATTCATTAATTTTCCTGTGATTATAGATAATTTGGACTTATTTAATTTACTTTATCTTTTTAGATTTTAAAAATTGATTTTTAAAAATATGTTTAAAAATGATTGAAAAAAAATCTTATTTTAATAACTTTAATTTAAAAATTATTTTAAATAAAAGAATACAACATTAATAATAACGAAAAGTTGAAAAACGACAGTGATAACTATAAGATAATGAAAATGGATTATATAACGTAGTTATTTGATAATAAAGAAATTTATTTCAATAAAACAATTTTTTTTAAAATTAAAAAATATAAAAAAGCTCAAACTATTTTAAAAACAGAAATGAAACTAGTCCTAGATTATTAAGATTGACAAAAGTAAAAAAGTAATATACTTTATTATTATTATTATTATTATTATTAAGTATATTTTGTGGATAAATTAAATATTTTAAAAAATTAATTTAAATTTTTTATTTTAAAATTCAATATTTAGTATCGATATTTTACTGTTATCAATTTTATAATCTGATTGATTCATACAATCTTTTCACATGAATTTAATATTTAATAACCATTTTTATCATAATAAAGTTATTAATAATAATTATGAAATCATAATCAAATTTTAAAAGAAAAATAAAAGATAACTTGTTTTTATAGTTATCTAAAAAAATTTTTTTAGTAATCTCTAAAAAAATTTTATATTTCATTTTTTAAATAAATTTCATATATTGTCATTAAAATATAATTTAGTGTTTATATATTATATTATATTATATCATAATAATATATAAAAAAGAAGAAGCTAAATTACATTTTAATAAACTTATTTGAAATAAAAATATTACGAAATTGAAAATACTTTTCAATATTTTAATTTAATTTATTTAAATTCTAAAATGAAATCAAAACTTTAGTATAATATTTTAAAGGAATAAGTTGAAAATTGTACGTATTATTATTATATTATTATTCTAGAAGAGTTGTTTAAGATTTCGCTTTAGGAAAATGTATAACGGATATTTTTTTAATACACCAAACACGTACTATGTAACCTAAATTCATAAAAGCTATCATAACTTTCTGAACATTGAGGTGAGGATTTGCCACGTCTCCTATACTTCTGAACAAAACGACAAACCCTAGAGCGCATCATTGCGAGGCATAAAATCCCTTCACTTTCGCAACGACACCTGTTGCTCTCAAACGGCAACCCCGTAACCACCACCACGCCATTAGATTCACGCCACGTCACGAACACATCACGTGGGGTGCTGCCATCAACGGCGCAGAAGAAGCCGTCGCACGACCCGTGATGCGTATGTTCCTTTTGGCGTTTTGCTCGCGTTTGATGCAGCCACGTGGTCGAGGATGTCGCTGTCGCTGTCGTGTGTTCGTTGTCGTATGTGTGAGGGTGTGTCTTTTTCGGCTTTCCCAAAATGCAGAGCATCTTTGCGCAGCAGGAAGTGGAAGACGCTGATTTGATGACATTGTGATTATGATTGGTTTCGCGTTGCCAATTCAGCGTTTCGCAAGCCAAGGTTTCCACGACTCTTCCTCGCACGTGAGACAATCTCACATGCGTCCAGTTGTAAGAAGTGTAGATGCATCCACTTTCTTCCCAAAATGTTTTTTCAGATGAATCATTATCATTCATTCTTTGACTTTACCATTTTCCCTAACTAAAGTAATTCAATGTTTTATTTAAATGTATGTTCAGATCATCTTCTATTCAATCACTTCTAATAAAAATATTCACATAAAAAATATTACATAAGACTTTGTTTATACAATTAATGATTAGATGTTGTTTATCTTATAATGTACTCCGATTTCGTGTTCTTATTAACATCAAAATTCAATCATGCATTTATTTTCGTTTTTCCCTTCCAAGTATCAATTTAAGATGTTGAAACAAGTTTTTTTTTTTAATTGAGGGAACTAAAAATATTAATTCTAATTTTAGAGAAAAAAATTGATAAGTTTGGAAAGAATGTATTCGAAAAAAAAAAAAAAAACTATTGGAAAGCATATTTATTTTCTTTATAAAAATGAGTCAGATTTGTAATAGAGTTTGTAATTTTATTTAATAATATTTAAAAAGTTAAACCTTGGAAGATAATGAATCGTGATTTTTTATAATTAAAATCCGAATCTTTGTCTTCATATTCTATGTTTAGTATTTATGTGTATCGTCATGAAACTTGGTCACTTGTAGAAAGAAAGTAAAAGAAAAGAAGAAGATTTAGTTGAATTTTTAATCATCTTTAGCAAAGAAAAGTTGAATTTGAATTATAAACCCTAAGTTGTCTCCAAAAATTTAACAAACTCACTAGTACAAAAAAACACCTTTAACAACGGTTCTCAACAACTTTCTACATCGGTTCTACAACCGATGTAGATACAACCGATGTAGAAACTTGGTGAGTTTTAACATCGGTTAAGAACCGATGTAGAAAGTCTGACTTTCTACATCGGTTCTAGCCATAACCGATGTGGAAAATCAGACTTTCTACATCGGTTTTAGTCATAACCGATGTGGAAAATCAGACTTTCTGTTGAACATTCAAGGACTTGATGTTGCAAATAATGATCATGAAGAATGTTGATTTTGATGATGATCCAAGAGCTTAAAGACTTAGAGTATTGAAGATTGAAGATTGATGATTTCTGTATTGTAATAACTCTGTTTTAGTTTGATTGAGTCTGTAATTATAGAGTCTAAGATAGTCGGTACATAGTCTATAACTTGAAGCTTCAAAATGCTCAAATTTATCATGCAGGCTCGGCTTTAATCGATTATATAGGTAAATAATCGATTAAAACAGATGAGAAAACCACTTTCTATACTAAGTCACTGCTTTTAATCGATTAAAAAGCAAAATAATCGATTATTTCGATACCGTTCAGATCAGATAATCGATTATTTCACCAAATAATCGATTAAACCAGAGAGGATTGGGTTCGACGTATTTGGCTCTGTTTTAATCGATTAAAACTCCATTTAATCGATTATTTCGATCTGTTTCGATTTTAAACATCAAACAAACCCTATTTTCGAAAACCCAATTACCAAGAACCCTAGTTTCGAAATCCCCAATTCCTAAACCCTAATTTCCCTACTTAAACTCTGCTTTGGCACTCGGAAAAACAAGAACAACTCTTTCCATACAAAAGTTAAGTGCTTGTGAGTGCCGGAGAACTGTTTGTTGCAAGGAAAGGGGGCTTTTGGAACCTGGTGTGAGGCTAGAAGCGATAAGAATCACTAAGTGGAGTTCTTAGTGGATTGTGTGCTCTGTGTCGTCTCTAGGGAAAGCTGTTTTTCATCTCTTGTGGGTTTCAAGAGAGGTGTTATCTTTAACTTTATCTTTTTCATTGTAATCTGTTTGTAACAATTTGTTCTTAGTGACGGCGTTAATCCTCTTTTGAGTGATTAGCAACTCGGACGTAGGGTCTTTTGATCCGAACCAAGTATAAACCTCATCGTGTAATCTTCTCTACTCTTCTCTATTTACATTTACGCAGTTTTTAATCGGTAAAATTTGGGGAAAATTTTGAAAACCTAATTTTTATTAAGAAACCAATTCACCCCCTCTTGGTTTTTGTCCGACCACGCGAACATTCAGCTGCGCGATTCTAACAAGTGGTATCGAGCTTGCTTTGATAGTCATTCAAACTTTTCGAAAATGGCCGGACAAAATCAAACTTTTGCCGAAGGTGCGTCTATCAACAGACCTCCACTTTTTGCGGGTCAAAATTATCCTTTTTGGAAAGTACGTATGCAAATATTTTTAGAGTTCTGCTGATAGAGGCGTTTGGGACGCAATTTTAAATGGTCCATTTATTCCTAAAATTACGAGAACGGTGTTGACGTTCTTAAACCTTTTGATAGATGGACTGCAGAAGAAAGTCGAAAAGCACAATTTGATGTTAGGGCTAGAAACATTATTTCATCTCGCTCTAACCGTTGATGAGTTTTATAGAATTTCAGTTTGTAAAAGTGCACAGGAAATGTGGGAAATGCTAAGGGTGACCCACGAAGGAACCGACGACGTCAAAAGAGCACGTAAAAATTCTTTAATCCAAGAATACGAGATGTTCCGGATGCAACCCGTGAAACGATTTTCGACGTTCAGAAACGTTTCACTCATATTGTGAATCATCTCACCGGATTAGGTAAAGTATTTGATGTTGATGAATTAAATGTAAAAATTTTGAAATCTCTCGGATAGGAAATGGCAACCAAAGGTGACGGCCATCTCGGAGTCACAAAATCTTGCCACTATGTCTATGGCGGCATTATTTGGAAAGCTTAGGGAGCATGAACTTGACCTTGGAAGACTAAATGAGGAAGAGGGTCAATACCAAAAGAAGAATCTAGCTTTCAAGACCGAGATTTCAAAAGGTAAAAATAAGAAAGAAGAAGAAGAAGACTCCGAAATTGATGAAGAAGAGATGAGTCTTTTTATAAAGAAGTTCACCAAGATGATGAAAGCAAAAGGAAGAAATCCTTTCAAAGGTAAGGGAAAGGTAAAAGAAAATTCTTCCATTAATATAAAATGTTTTGGTTGTGGTGAAGCAGGGCATATAAAGACCGAATGCCCAAACAAGAAAAATGATGAACACAAGGGCAAAAAGCAATTCAAGAAGAAAACATATATTGCTTGGGATGATAGTGATTCAAATTCAGAATCAAGCGACTCGGAAATAGAAGCAAACAATTGCTTGATGGCAAATGACAACAATTCTTCAGATTTTGAGGTTAGTGATTCCGATTCATCCTCTAGTGAAGAAAATGACCATGATGAATTGCAAAATGCTTATAATGAGTTATTTACTGCATTTATGGATATGAAAAAGGAATATAAAGTTGTAAAGAAGAATCTAAGAAAATCCGAAAAGGAAAATGAGTCCTTAAAATTGAAAATTGCATGTTTAGAAGAAAAGGAGGTAGCTAATACGAAAATTATATGCTTAGATGAAGATAAGGATTTAGCATGTGCAAATTGTAAAGAGCATGAACATGACATAGATATTCTTAACCATTTGCTTGACAAAGCCGAAAAAGAAATTGATGATCTTAAGAAGAATGAAATGGTATTTGCTCAAAATAATGTAAATCATAGAGTTTCTTTGAAAAAGAGTAAAACTAAAAAGAAAAGAGTATGGGTAGAAAAAGGAACTAGAGCATGTCATGTTAATAATGTATCTTGTTCTAAAACTACTTCAAATGCATGCTTCTATTGTATGAAACAAGGTCACACTTCAAATAGATGTAAAATTAAGCATTTTGGAGTTCCTAAAGGAAAATATGTTTGGGTTCCTATAGTTAAATGAACTATTTGTATATTGTATTTATTCAAAGAAAATGGATCATTTAGTATGTTTTAAATGGAATGCTTAGGTAACAACATTTTATCTTTTCTATAGCATGAAGGTTCTTCACTTAAAGATTTTTGCGAAAAGCCTCTAAAATTGTTTTAAACAACCTAAAACAAAGTATTTTTACAAAATCCTTCTTAAAACATGGTTTTAACTGATGCAGTTTTGAAAGAACCAAATAAAATCAATTAGAATGGTCAAAGAAGTGTTTTTACAGCATTTTAATCGATACAACATGTTTTTAATCGATTAAAACCATTTAGAACTCATTATGATCGATCAGATTTTTATTATGAGCGGTCAGAATCCTTTAAATCGATTAAAAACACGTTTCAATCGATTAAAATTACTTAAAGGGTCAGGATGATCGATCAGAATCAAATTATGACCGATTAGAAGCAAATATGATCGATCAGATTTTAATTATGAGCGGTCAGAAATTTTTTCAATCGATTAAAACACGTTTCAATCGATTAAAATCACTTAAAGGGTCAGGATGATCGATCAGATTTTTATTATGACTGGTCAGAATCAGTTATGATCGATCAGAATTTAGTTATGACCGGTCAGAACTCTTTTAATCGATTAAAAACTCATTTCAATCGATTAAAACAACTTAAAAATTTTTTCTACACTGCGTTTCAATCGATTAAAATATGTTTTAACAGATTAAAACTGCACTTTTAACAGATTAAAAGAATCTTTTAACAGATTAATTAAACCAGCAGTTTTGAAAATAGTCTATAAAAACAGTTTTGCTTGAACTTCTTAAAACACCCAAAGAATAGATTGTTTTGCAGTATTTTAAATAGATTATTATGTCTCTAACCTCAAGGACCCAAAAGTTGTGGGGACCTAAGTTTGCTATGTTCTTGTTTTGTAGGAAACTTCCAAATCAAAGAAGTCTATGTGGTATCTTGATAGTGGATGCTCAAAACATATGACTCGGGATAAAACGAAATTTGTAAGTTTCAAAGCCAAAGAACAATGATATGTGACTTATGGGGATAACAACAAAGGGAAGATTCTCGAATTGGAAACATAGGTGGTGCAAATACATTGGAGATTAAGGATGTGCTTCTTGTTGATGGATTAAAACATAACCTTCTTAGCATAAGCCAATTGTGTGACAAAGGATTCAAGGTAACTTTTGAAAGCAAATTTTGCACCATACATTTAGTAGATTCCGAAAAAGTAGAATTAAAAGGCATTAGGCATAACAACATATATTTGATTGATTTGGATTGTTTACATGAGTCTAGTATAACATGTTTA